TTGTGGCTGCTCGAGCACTTATTAATCCCGACGTAAAGTTTACATAGGTATACGAAAATATTAAAAAATGAATATATATTGCTAGTGAGCACCCACATCATGGTGTGTAAAGCAAAAAGGTGCAGTTTTCACATCTGCATTTATAGTCACTTTATTCAATGTATTTGACATGGTTTGAATTAGTAAAGAATTTAAGAAAGAACTTACGGCTTTTGAATTTGTTATCTAAAGTGGAGTTTGGGATTTAAAGCTTAAGAGTTCAAGAATTTAGTCCTCTCAATTCTCAAAGTTCTAAACTGATATACATATCAAATAGATTTTTCTTAAGAAAGATATATAAGTTTGAACCAAAACTATTAGGTTCTACTGAACTCACTTTCTATAGTACTACTCTAGTTTCTCGCCCCTGAATACGTCATAGAATTCGTGTGATGATCAAATTTTTGAAACTAATGGCGTTAAATATACAATAATAATCATAAGGCAATAAAAGTTTCGCATTAAGGATAAAATGAGAAGTACAACGTTAACTATTTCTATAAATTTTGAAGTGTTTCATCCTTTTGGAACAAAAGTAAGAAGAAAAATGTGTTGCATTAATTGGAATAGAGGGAAAAAATTGTTTGACTCGCGATGACGATGAACAACTCGAGCTAAAACGAATTATAATGAACAAGAAAGAACCATAACACATAGGAGTTCTACATATGTTAATACTCAAATATCAATTACTATGCATATACGCTTTTTAGAGTTTTCTAATAAAGTTGTCAAACCACAAATGTCACACAAAAGTTATCAAACCAACATAATAACAAAACTTGTAAAAATAAAAAACTAATAAATAAATAAAAAATTAAAAACTTAATTTTAAACCATAATCGTTTTCCCTTTTTATGCAAAAGTGGAGACAAAAGAAGTAACGCTGGAAAAAAATTTCACCTTACAAAATTTTTCTAATAGTTTTTAATGTAAATTTCAAAAATTGAATTAATCTAATCTAATTTTATTAGAATATTTTTAAAAAAATTGAATAATCAGCCACACTAGGAATTTCAAGCGGACAAAAATTACTCCAACAACATATCTAATCTAGTTCCACAAAGTGTGATATGAAAAAAATTCAATCCTTTACTTCATATGTTATTTTAGATAGCTCTTCGACTTAAAAGATTAACAATTCAAAGAAAAAACAGAAATACAAGAAAATTTGAACAACAAAAAACCATGCATCCATATATTACTTACTTCATTACTTTGCATATAAACTTTGTAGAACTTTTTTACATGCTTCAAAATATTCCATAATTCTTACCAAAACATCATAATAAAACCTAAAAAAAAAAAAAAAACATGGAAATTAAACACACACTAATAGGCATATTTATTTATTTTATTTAAAATAAAGCATGATCATTTCCCCTTTTCTCCAGAGTGGAGACCAGAGAAGTAACCCTGTGGGTTACTCTCAAAGCCTCCCCTTGAAATGTACGCGCCGCCGCCACCTGGCGCCTTCATCGACCCTCCCCCGCCGCCACTACCGCTCCCCTTGGCAGAGCTGCCGCCACCGCCACTTTTAGCACCACCGCATCCACCTCCACCACCCTTTCCACCGCCGCCGCCGCCCCCCTTACCACCGCCGCCACCGCCTTTGCCACCTGGCATTTTATATTGTCGTATAATAGTTGATATATATCACTCTCGAACAAATTATAATAATCTCTTTATCGACGCTCTCCCTTATATAGAGAGAGTTATTCACCTTGTTTTTCTGGATAAGGTCTAATTTAATTATTCATATTATTCTTTTCATCTTAGTTTATGTGGCACTCTTCAAATTTCGAGAGAAATTTATAAATATCGTAACTTATACTCTCTTTGTTCACATTTACTTATGATGTATCGTTTTACAATCAAGACTCCAGAGTCATTTGACGTAGCTAAATTGAATTAGATATATTCAATATTTTTAATTTTAAATATTGATATTCGAAACTATTTGAAAATATAATGAATTGCAATTAGTTTATATTAATATGATAATAAAATACATCTTAAAATATTGACAAAATCGATCTTATAGTTTGACTCTCAAAAAATAAAATATGATAAACAAATGTGTCACTCTATAGTAGTTTTTATATAATTTTTCAGTGTGTAAATTTTATTTCAACTTTTGTTATATAATTTAATAAGTTTAACTCTCGAAATTTAAATAATATCACATAAACTAAGTCAAATTCATGCTTATCAGAATTTCTTGAGAAACCAAAAGGTGACACTCTTTTTTGCATGCATGCATGCTTATCAAAATTCCTCGAAAACCAAACGTAATCTCTCATTTTTTCATGCATATAAGCCAACGCTTTGGTTTCCAATGCAAACTTTGCTTTCACAATTAATTTTAATTTATTGTAACTTCTTTGGTTTAGTTATTTAATTTGGATAAGAAATAATAATATCTAATATTTCAAAATCAATTACTAGTGAATTTCACCTTATGTATAACTATACACTCTATTGTATATTAAAGTGTATATAATATTTTAATGCATGCATTAACATGATTAATTAAAGACCAAACTGTCCCTCAAGATCTTTTTTACATTTTCTCCACCATAATAGTAGGGTATCTTTGTAAAATTTTTTTATATGTAATGCATATTATTTTTAATGTATCAAACCAAATAATACAAAAAATTTTTTATGTATAATTAATGCAAGCATAACTAATTCACTCTATTTAAAAAATATTTACCAAATGACCCCTTAATACTTAAAACGATCCAAACCAATGTTATGTTGGGTCTTTACACTTCGTTTGGATAGTTGTTACGTATTGTTTCAAAATGTATCACATCGTGTTGTATTATATTGGAAATGAAATGATGATAAAATAGTAAAAATGTAACGAAGGTGTACAGGTGTACACTTTAACAACCGTATATTAGTACGTACGTACTAAAGGAGGAGAGTGGGTGGGGGGTAGAGCAGATACATACAAACAAATTAAACAGCCAGTGGCACTCACTCTGCTCTGCCAAATCTGTCACCATATGCAACCATTCCCCTTCCCCCACCTTTTTTTTTATCAGATCAGTACTCACTCTACTCCTATAAATATATAACACTACACTCTCATCATCACAATTACATAGTGTTGTAAATTGTTGTAACTTTCACATATAGCAAACATAAAAATCATATTTGTATGTTATAACTATAATTTGCATAATTGCTCTCCATAGCAAACATAAATATGTATATTTCGCTATACATATACAAAAGAAAGCAGTTGTATAATTTCGCTATACATATACAAAAGAAAGCAGTTGTATAATCTGTTTTGGTATACATATACAAAAGATCAATTGTATAATCTATGTTTATATAAAGCGAGAAAGAGAGAAAAACAAAAGAAAACTGCGCAGGGGAATATCGTATTTGTATAATCATAAGTGTATAGGACGAAAACATATGCATATGTATTTGTATATACAATTTTCTCTTGCTTTATACAAACACAAACGCAATGTATAGATTTGTGTTTGTATAAAGTGAGAGAGGCGAGTGAGCGAGTGAGATCTGGGAGAGTGGCGAGCGAGATCTGGGAGAGGGGAACGAAAATATATGTATATATACAATTTTCTTATACAAACACAAACACATTTTATACATTTGCGTTTTTGTATAAATTGAGAGATGCGAGTGAGCGAGCGAGATTTGGGAGAGTGGCGAGCGAGATCTGGGAGAGGGGAACGAAAATATGTATATATACAATTTTCTCTCGCTTTATACAAACACAAACGCACTTTATACATTTGTGTTTGTATAAAAGTGAGAGAGGCGAGGGAGAGAACAAGAGTAGCGAGCGAGATTCACCAGGAGAGAGGCGAAATAGCAACAATTTGCTATGGGGTACAATTAAATCAAACTATGAAAATAACATTTAATTTGAATTAATAGTTTGCTATTACATACAATTTTCCCTATATTGATCGTATTGAATGAGAAAGAGAGGTTTGGGCCGATTTGGTATTGCAAATTTGGGCCATATTGGTCTCAAATTTTGGCTGAGAAGAGAGTTAAGCTTGAAGAAAAATTGGCTAGATTTGAATTTGGCACTTGGCTAATAGATTGCAAATTTGCCAGAAGACTCAAGAATTTAGCCAAAAATTGAATTTAATTGACGAATTCGATTAAATATTAAATAAAATAAATTAATATTAATTAATTAGCTTCTTACTTTTAAAAAATAAAATAATTAACTTAATTTTAAGCTAATTAACTAAAAATAATAATCATAGTTAAACTAAACTAATTAACAAAATATTTGATTAAAAATAAAATTCTTTTAAGATGATTTCGAATATTTATAAAAGGTGATATACATAATTATATAGGAATATATATATTATTTAAAAATTATAAAAATGACAATTATTTTAAAAGAACTTAAAAATATTTTAAATTTTTATAAAATTAATTATTTCAAATCATTTGAAATTGAAGAAACTCGATAATAATCCATATTGTGAAGGGCTAAAATTGGTGTCAACTATCATATGTTAGTATAAATGCATATATGCTCTAATTTTTGGACGGCAGAGGCACCAATGTCCCAATAATATAATGGAGGGTATCTGCATATCATTTACAATAATTCAGAGTATATTTATCCTTTTCCCAATCAAAAATACCAAAACAATAAAGCCTTAGACACATTAATATATCATTAAAGTATTCAGAAAGGTGATTTATCTTACATTCAAAAATACCAAAAATATAATTCGACAGTAAGTTTTAACCAGCAGAAGAGAATGAATTATCAATGTTACTTATCTCAGACTTAACCAAACACCCTTTTATTCACTTTCTTTTGTCCATAAAATTTCGGAATTCAACTTGACCAATGCAGGACACCAGAAATACACACAGAGAACTTAATAAGAGCAGGGACAACAGTAATGCCAACAATAACTTGGAAAAATCTTCATGACAGAACAGAAAATACATAACTGATTAAGAAGCAGCGCGAGAGTCGCTACCTCAACCTCTAAACGATACAACGATGATGCTTATTTACGATATAGTTTCAGTACCTACTGTCAAATTGTACACCACTAATTCGATACAAGGTACAAGGATTTACGACACTAACAACGAGCTATGAACAAAATGCTGTATTCACATGTCCATGCCATCAAATATCTCTTCATCTTCATCAAAACTTGAGTCGTCTAATAGGTGTCCTTCACCAACCAAGTTACTGCAATAAACAACAGTTGATCAGGCCTAAATATATGCTAGTTAAAAGTAGAATCTCACATCCTGGAACATTGGAAGAGTAGAGTAATCACCTCACACAGCTGAAGCGGAAACTCACGACACGTTTCAATCTTCTATTGTAGAAGAAAAAGTGGTAAGACCATCTGGAAAAGATACAAAGACTTGTGTTAATGGACTACCACTCGCAACAAGAAATTTGATCAGTAAATAAAATCTTATTTTAATTTGAAAATGACCATGAACTACAGCTTTAACCAATCAAACGGGGCAAAGAGACAGTTTATATAGGCAAAATGAGATGAAGTTGGAAAGCCAAATCATCATATTCAAGTAAAAGGAAAGAAACATATGACAAAGAGTAATAATCAAAATTGGATGTGGAGGTAAATGTACTAATTAATAAGTAAATTTTACTATAATTTACTCAGTCGTTTGAATAACATCAATCAAATCCGAGAGAAAAAAAAAGTTTGATACTTTCTATCCACCATAATAATTGCATAATAATCTCTAGCCTATTAGTTTTAGGAGCCTAAAGCAAAGGCTTCCACTGCCTTGCCCTTGACCTGACCATGGTTTTTGGCTACTTCGTAATATGTACTCAGAGAGGACCTCAATCAGATGGTTTATAATTTAAATGAAAAGTTGAAGAATAGGAAGCTCATGCAGAAAGTTGACACAGTTAAAAAAAGAATTGGATAAAAAGGATATATTCATATAAAAAGTCTTACATGGCTCCCTTCTCGAGAAACGGATCTGCATCTGCCTCCGGATTGTAAGTGTAGATTTCACATTCAGCAACTTTTACAACCTGCACTGCTAATAAGTTAAGCAACTTGACCATGTTCCCTCTTTGTCCTCTCTTTATGTTGATAAAAAATACTCACCTCATCTAAAGCCTTGTACAAGGTTTCAAGCAGAGCACTACCTTCATTTGCGTCAAGCCATTCCTGCAACCCAAATCAAAGAATACCTAAACAAAAAGCTCGAAGTTCTCTCTTTGATAACTTAGCTAAGCCTTGAAACAAATATAGTATAATGACATCCATTACGACATAAAATACACTCACTACCCTTTCCAAAGAAAACAAGGAAAAGACAAAATAGTCTAATCATCTGACTGCTCCATATATGCTATTACAGAACACTAGAAAGAAATAGTCAAATAACGGTGTCTAATTCTTTTCAGAAAAAGTAATTAATCTGATTTTTTGGTCTATTAAAGGCATAGATCCTAAGCACAACCTTGTTTGATTAGTTACCTCTAGTTGCATGCTAGTTAATCAAAACAACGTAATCAAGTAAAACCAAAGGTAGGAAGATGATTTCAATAGAAATGCCAACATGACAACCAAGGCAATTGCCAATATGTTCCCAACATATAATCTGTAACAAACACAGCTTAGTAGCAGAGGAATGGAAATATAATAACCTTTGAAGCCTCAAACATGTAGACGTCAAATATCTGCTTAAAACTGTCCCAGCTCTCTTCAGTGAAAAACTGGTGAGCATTCACTGCACTGTAAACCAGAAAGTTGGCAAGTCAAAGCAAAACAGGAATAAATTGCATATACACGCATAACCAGAAGACTGACGACAGACGAGACAACTTGAGTATTGTATTGGGAAATGGAGAGACTTGAACTCTCAGCTCCTTCAAGAGCAACAGTGATCTAAACTGTCTGTCAATCCATCTGACAACACTCCCACAGCTGTAAGAGAAGGATTATAAAGCGGGATGCCACGTCGCCAAAGAAGCTGACAGTGGCATTACCCATAATCCACCCAATCAGCTTATACTACAAATACAACAGGATTGTTCTTTTTTTGAGTAAATACAAATATAAAAACATTATTTTCACCATAAGTTGGAGACTTACCTGAAGTCATAATCCGGATACATGTGATAGAGAGAAAGGAGTAGATATATCAACGTTTTCCGGCTGGAATGAAAAATTAGAAAAAAAAAAAATGCATTATGAACCAATACACACTCGTTTCAGACGTAAAACTCCAGCCATAGGTCTGGATTCACCACCTGGATCTACACATTAGGTATTCAACAGGTGAAGAAGAATCCGCATCTGAAGATTTTCCAAGATAATCAAAAATCTGCAACCAAAAGTTACTTTAAGATCTCCCGCAAGAAGAAACTTTATTAGCTACTCGTACAACAAGAAGAAATTGAATTACTCTCATAAGCAACTGAAGTTACAAGAAAAAAATGAATTTCAGCAACACGAGGGAGGATGCAGTCTATAAATATACAATAATGAGCATAAAAAAGCTTCTCCAGGATTGAAAATAGTGAGATTTAATTTCTAGCTTCCTATTATTTCTACATATTGGGAGGAAGGTGTAAATTTATTTATCTTTCTGACTGAAAACAAGATGTAAGAATGGCAACATCATGATAAGCACAATATAATGTTTCATGTGTCAAAGCTCTTCCATTCTCTCAAGTTTAAAGTTGGATTGCTAATTACGCAGGACATAAGGACTACTCCTATATGATTTCTTCCCATTTGCTAAGCTTTATTGTGCAGAGTTACAACGTACGTATGCTTGTAAGAGTTAGCAGGTACCCATTGAATAGTCAAGCAGCGTGCAAGCTAGTCTGGACGCAAGTGTTTTAAAAAAAATTGCATTTCTAATCAAAATCATGCAAGAGACGCATGGACCTACATCCTCATGAGGGTGCATAATCCCCCTGCCCTCCTTGGGTGGGCGCTTGATAATAAAAGAGGCCTTTTGTTTTATACTTCAATACATTTGATTTCATTTATAGAATTTTTTTGATGATGTTAACACAAACTTGTAATTTTCATTCACCAATCAACATTTCATGCAAAACGAGCTCCATATTGTTGAAAATAGTAGAGAAATGAAGTGTTGTACAATGATTGCCCAAACTACCCTCGGTAAAGAGTAAAAGACAACATGATAGATAAGATATTCATGAATTGAAGTTACCTCATTCTCCAAACTGAGCGATAGTTTCTTATCTGTTCCAGTGTGCTTACCTAACAAGAACAAGCAAAAGTAAACATCATGAGATTTTCCAGATGTAGGGGCATTGTTTACTTGGAGATCATTAAAAACACTTACAAGAGTATGCTTCAAGACATCCTTTAATGGTTCGCTCTCCAAGATTCACATGACTCAGAAAATCATTTATCCTGTACATGCAAATAAAATAATTTATTGCAACCAAACAACAAAAAAATCTTCTGTACTTATTTGAATGTCATTATATGTCGAAGCTTACCGATCAAGAGGGGTATATTCCAGGTACTTCATAATTGATAACAATGCAGAAGTTTAGCCAAATTGATGATATTAGAGGTCCTACCAGAAAAAAACAAAAGTTCAGGATCATAAATTACCATACACCCAACGCCAATTAACAGTCGCAAGAAATCATATTCAAATCTTATACCATGTCCAAATAAGAACACATCAAACTCCAACAAGAAATAAACAGAACATAGCAAATTTACCACATTCATAGCAAATTAATAAAGTCTTTGTCAATAGGCATGATTCTTCCAATTTATAAATTTAGGACCATAGTACCTTACTATCTTTTTCTTTTGGGTGCACACCCAAAGTTGAAGGGCATAAATGTGCTATTCAAATGTAGCAACAGATATTAATACACATCCGAGAAAAGAAACTAAGCATGAGAAAACTTCAAAATTTCCATAAAACATTCAAATATACAATGAGTTCCTCAACAACAAACCTAGTTTAATCCCACGAATGGGGAGCACAATGAACTCTTCAAATCTCCTCAATTGACCAACCAACAATTATGAACAACAATTACATATCAATTTAGCCTAAGGACCAACATGCCAGCATAATAAAAAACTTATATGTTGTTCTATATCTCAACAAATCTATGAATTTATGCTCATATTAAATTCACTCAGGAGTCTAACAAACTTCAATATTTCCATTTCTCATCACACAACATTAAAAATATCCTTCAGAAAAACTTCAAACAAACAATTATTAACCATAATTACATATCAATTTGGCCGAAGGACGAATATGCAAGCATAATAGGCTTATATACTGTTCTATATCTCAGCAAATCTATGAATTTCTGCACACATTCAAAATTTCCTTAATACAAACACAATTCCCCCAAAATATAACATTCTAAACAAATGCAAACATGAAAAGCACCAAAACCCACAACAAAAACCCATAGATCTACAAAGTTTGACTTACAAATAAGCAAAAAAAAATACAAATCTGAAAATTCAAACAGAAACTTAGTTCGAACACAACAAAAAAACCATACCCTTTTCAACAAACTGAAAAATAAGGTGAAATTGAGAGTTGAATTCAAAAAAGAAACATACCCTTTTCAACAAACTGAGAAATATAGGAGAATTTGAGAGCTGAAATCAAATGGGTTATTGAAAAAATTGCTTCTTTTTTCTGGGAATTTATTTATGATGATGAAAATGAACTCTTTTATATTCGAATATTCGAAAAATTGTGCAAAATTGAAAGTTTGGTGAAAATTTTCTTCAAAAAATGGGAGATTTTGATGAGACAATTTTGTAGGGTGTTGAGTTGGCACAATCTGATTGGATGACGTTTGATGATTTTGTCGTTTCTGTTATGGGTTGGTATTTCAATCCTGTGGATCACTATAGAGGTTCAACCTTATCCATTAGATCACTTCACAAAAGTTTATTTTAAAAAAAAAGTTATTGAGATATTGTATAACATTGATATAAACCCTGAGGGGTAGCTCAGCTGGTAAAGGCTTGGGACAAAGTCCTTCAGGTCGCCGGTTCGAGCCCCAGCAGGGCCACTGGAGGCATTACAAACCGGCCGCGTCTCCAGGGCCCCGTGGAACTAACCGTGGTGGATCCGCCTTGAAACAGCGGGACCCGGTGGGTACAGCTAGTCGGGTTCGCAAAGCGACGCCCGGAAACCACGGTAAAAAATAAAATAAAAATATAACATTGATATACGTGTCAAAATGGTTCATATGTATGTGGGTGTACATAGGTCGATTTGATTTGGTTTTTTATTAAAAAAAATTAAATTAAATATATCGATTTATTAAATTTAAAAACCAAATCAAACCACATAAAATTGGTTTTTTCGGTTTTGGCTTTAGTCGGTTCTTTCGGGTTTTTTTCGATTTTTTATAACTATACGGTATTTGAAAAAGAGATCAAATATTTTTTCACTTACCTGTGTAATAAGCTAAACTTAAAAAATGTTAAATGAATAGAAATTTTTGAAAATACGGTAAAATTCACATGAGTACAAAATATTTTTTTTGAAATATCAACTTTCATTATGTTAAATTAATACTCCCTCCGTCCACTTTTATTTGTCATGTTGCGTTTTTCAAAAGTCAATTTGACTAATTTTTAAAGTTAAATTAGATTACATTAATTAGATATTTTAAACAAAAAATTTAGATATTCAAAAACTATACGAAAAATACTATACATTGCAATTTTTTGCATATCAATATGATGAAAAAATATATTGTAAAATGTTAGTCAAAATGTTTATAGTTTGACTCTAAAAATGGAAAGTGTGACAATTAATAGTGGACGGAGGGAGTAAGATTAAAGGGTAGAAGCAAACTGAATACAAAACAAAATATTTACAAAGTAAATTGTTAACTTCGATTTTGAAAAAACTATAACAATATAATTGTAACTTCGGATCTTAATACAAAATAAAATATTTACAATTTTTACAAGCCCAAATTTGAAATAAAATATATAAACATTGAAAACTATAAACTAACTAAAAATATATTAACAAAGTAGATTAAAATAATTTTTTTTATCTATAAATAAAATAAAATTATATATATATATATATATATATACAAAAAAATTTACAAGCCCAAATTTGAAATAAAATATATAAACATTGAAAACTATAAACTAACTAAAAATATATCAACAAAGTAGATTATAAATAATATTTTTTATCTATAAATAAAATAGAATTATATATATATATATATATATATATATATATATATATATATATATATTATGTCGGTTTGGTTTGGGTTTGGTTTGACTTTTTTCCTTGTAATACCAAACCAAACCAAGAGTGATCGATTTTTTTTTCAACTGTCAAACCAACCAAACCAAACCACAAATCGATTTGATTTGGTTCGTCAGTTCGATTTGACTTTACGATTTTGCTTGTACACCTCTATCCATATGTACGTAACTCGATTATTTCATTAATATTCATTTAAAAGTAACGTTATTCATGAAGTAAGGTTGATATAAATTAATGCAAGCATTAAATTAATGACTATTTTTACCATTCAAACCTGTAACTTATATAAGTCCTAGTCACATGAAATTATTAATGAAGTATGATTTCTTAACATTATGACAACACTATTTAGAAATTGATTTAAATTTTCAAAATGCATGTGTTTATTCATGTATTACAATAACAAAATCTAGTACAATTCCCTCTTTTCAAATTTAAGTAACGTAGATAGATTCATTAACCTTCATTATTTCTCACAATCCTATTTATCGTTCTTTTAACTTTCTTTGATTTGAATTTTTCACCTTGTTGCAACTTGTATCTTTTATGCCATTTTGAAGTATTTATTAGTTTACATAACTATTTTAGATTTCTCGAACAAGATTATGAGACAAATTTGATGGTTAGAGTTCTATTTCTAAAAATAAAGAAATTATCGAAAAGTTCACTCTCAATCAGACTCGAAGTAAATGATAGAAAGTAAGATTCATAATTCAGATCATCAAATTCAGTGTGATATTATAATGTTTAACCATCATAAACTTGTTCAAATTATAAACATTTTGACACACAATTGTTGTGGGGGGTGAGGGTGGGGTGAGAATCGAATAAAAGTTGGGGGACATGATTAGGTGCCACACAAGTAATAGTAAAAGAGATGGGCCAAAAGCCCAAGATTCTGTATATTGGGATGGGCCACAAGTCCAAGAGTGTGTATTGGTATGGGCCTGTATCATGTATGGTTCCATGTGAAGGGACAAATTACAAAGATAACCCATTTAAAACCATATAATTGAATTTAATATTTTTGTCTAAATTTCATGCATATATGACCGAAGTATAACTATATTTGTCTGAATTTCAATCGCATATGGTTAAATTTTATCCTTTTTACTTGAATTTAAACGTAATGTATGACTGAATTCAATCACTTTCTTAAAATCATACATTAAAAAATAATAATTCATGCACATATGACAAAATTTCAGTCATGTTCTGAACTTCAATCAAATTTTTATTTAATGTTGATTACGCTTAAAATAAGGAGGTGATGGATACATTCGAACACAAATTTCAAAAACAGATAAGTTTATATCTTGATGAATGCAATTTAAAAAAACCGGCTACTCATCGCAGCAGAGTGCTTTGCTATCCGCTTACGAAACGTTAGTGATGTGTGCTTAAGTCTAATTTAATTTGGACCATGCACTCAATGTCCATTTCTAGTTTTCCACGTGGAAACTCAAAGGGCCATAGAAAACCAAAGAAAAAGAATTTAAAAAAAAAATAAAAAAATACGTGGAATTAGATGATCTGATGAACGTATCGTTTATGTGGACTAATTTTTTTATTTGTAATATTAAAATCAATAATTTATTGAAAAGTAATAGAATCAAGAGAACCTATAAATTACACCTAATTGCACAGTACGTGTCTTTATAATTATTGATTTGATTATGATCAACAACAAATAATAACACTAACATTTCTACTGTAATCTCACACGTGAAATCTAAAATCTGAACAAAGTAAGATGTACGTAACTTTACTAATGGATAAAAAGTTAATTTTTATTAACCTTCGACAACCCTCTTCCTCTATTCAAATTTAAGGTCGATAACATGAGCAAGCTTACTCTGATGGAGTTTTTGATTTATAACAATAATAATAATAATAAGTATTAGAATCAAAACATACCTATAACATTATTTTATTGTTAGGATTATGACTCCTAAGATTCTTGCATGCAACTACATGCATACCTAAATGTCCTAAACTAGTTGGTCAACCACACCTAATATGTTTCTAAAATGAAAAAAAAACGAAACTACCAATGAAATTCGTTGGCGCTAAATTGTCCATAACTAATTAACATGATTTTTTTGATGATCCGTTACTAAATAGGATTGATAAAGAACTCCTGTTGCTTTCAGGAAATAAGTTTTTTGTTGATAATTTCTATCTTTTTGTAGTGATGTAGCTAATTTTCTTCCATGACCCAACAAAGTTTTTTTTGTTTGCTTTTAAATGTCAAATTTCTCTTATATTTCCATTTCTAGAGT